TAGCTCTCTACCCTCGGAAGTGGCGTGTTTTCTCGGTACGAAAAGGCTGCTCATCAGTAGAGGTAGGTTGCTACAGATCTTGATCTGGACCCGTGGAACAATGTTTCCATGTGGGGCGGTCTTACCCAGCCCTGCCTAAACAACATACTACATCAACTCTTAACCTTGCCGACAGTCCGACACGTCTTCCCTCTTCGCATTCTTTTTTACCGCAATCTTTGGAGCAGAGTCGGGAGAGTCATCCTCCGTTGCGGGTCCTTGTGAAGCATCTCCAACAGCACGGCCTGAAAAGAAGGCTTCAGCTGCAGCAAGACCTTCCATGGACCACTTGAGCGGGTATGGGAAGCGAGTGGGCGCGACTGCGACGCACAGAAAGACTGAATGCTGCAAACTTCTGTGAAGAGCTTCGCCGCCGTCGCAGCTTCAGCAAGTGTGCAGGCAAGCGCCCAAACATCACTCGCTGGCGTTGCACGCAATGAATCGTCCTTCCAAGCTTCGCTCCAAGCCCAATGCTCAGGTGCACGATAAGCCCCTGCATACCTGTACTGGTTGTCCTTGCGACCATCAGGCTGGAGACGACACGCCAACTGAAACTCCGTCAACACTGCCCTCATGCGTGACCCATCCCACAGCACAGCTGAGGGCTTCAAGTTTCCATGGGCCCACCCACACTCATGTAGCCGCTCTAGGCCATGGCCCACTTGCTTGATCATAGCTAACTGCTCCTCTGGCGTCAGCGGACGCCTCTGCAAGGCGATTGCAAGATCCTCAAAGACATGGTCAAAAATGGCCCATGGTAGCTGGTCCTTTGAATTGGCAAGCACAGCCGAGAATTGGCCACAAACAGGAAGGCAGGAATGCACCAAGAGCTCCATTTCGCATGTTGCAAAGTCGGAGTAAATCTTTCCGCTTGCACGGTACTTCAGCTCATTGTGCTCGAACAAGTAGTGTGTGCAAGTATGGCTGGGTGAGCGGAGCGTGTCTGGCCCCACCAGCACGAACTGCCCGAACTGCGTTTTTGTACCACTGTCGCCAAAGCCACGGTCATCTGCGA